AGGATTTTTTAAAAATTCAATAATTTCCTTTTTGGGAAAAATCATGGGGATCCTTATCATATAAAGGGAAAAAAATGGGAAACCCAAAAGGCCAAAATACATTGGACATTCATACAATTTCTTGACAAATTCACATTTTTGAATAAATTCACCTTTATCATGATTTCACACGATTAATACAGGGTTAATACTCAACTGTAAGAACCATGTTCTTTTTCAATTTCCGTTTTAAATACCAATGAAATCCAATTAGATAACCACTTACTTCCCAATCCCCCTTTGCGTTCCAATCTCGGGGGAAATCTGGTATAAGGCACTTACAGCAGGTGCCTCCTTGATTCAACGAACTAAATCCTGTGAAACAATATAATTGATGTTGGAAACTAATTTCCACTCTAAACTGGAGTATTAAAGGTGAAATACAGAGTCTAGTAGCTACATTCCCAATTTCATATACGCACATGATTCTTGATCGACAGGTTTATTTACAGTGTTGAGGAGTTCACTTATAAAAACCATCATGATGTACTAAGGCATCACATTGTCTACTTGTACACCTACACTATTAGTGAATCCGTAAATCTTAGCTGCGGAATTTTAGTTGAAGTAATAATAAGTCTAAGAGTTAGTACCGAAACCTAAATTGTGAGCCTTTTTTAAAATTTCCCACTATTAGTTCCTCCCTTTAAAATATATATATATATATATATATATATATATATATATATATATATATATATATATATATATATTTTATGACAACCCAACCAAATTAGAGCCTAGCAAATTTCTACATTTTTGGAAGCCAGCCAATTTATAGCCTACCAAATTTGATTGACATCTATCTTTGCTATCTGATTTAAAAGATGCGTTTATGTATAATCAGGCTTCTTAAGTCAGTGAATAGTAGATTTCCATTAATTTTAAGGTAACAGAGCACCTTCGAAGAAAATTTTTTGAATTAACCTGAATTTTGCCTGTAAATGCATATTTTATGACCTAATGCGTCTCTAAAATTAGAAAAATACCCAAGAAAAGTTTTGTTAGTGTACATTTTTACTGTCAAAGTGGTAATAAAAATAAGCAAAAAAATTTTACGCAAAACATGATAACTGAAAAAAAAAATATATATATTGACTTTTTGTAAATTGAATAATATAGCATAACCTTTTCAACGGAATAGACTATTTTTTTTGTTAATATAGCTATTCTGGGAAGTTTTTGGGTTTTTGAGTTTCTATACTTGACATTTTCTTTAAAAGCTATTGTAGTTTTAAATTTATTGCTATAAAAAAAATTTCTATAACACAAAACCAAAAAAGGTCTTTTCCCTGTATAAGTTTTTAAAAAAACATAAATAAAAATTTTTGTTTTCATTCAAGCTCTTTTAATATTGTGTTTTGCGGAAAAAAAAGGGGAAAAAATTTTTTTGGAAAACGACAAAAAAAACATTAAACTCATCTAATTACAAGAAAAACACTTACTTTCTTTTTAAAAATACACCAGATATATAATCCCCCTTTAACACCCTAAAAGCATTTTTTTTTTTTTTTTAATTCTTAACATTTTTCTATCTTTCATTGTTTTGGGGTCCTTGAATCGATTCAAGATTTTTTTATAAAAATGTTTATACTTTTAAGAAAATTTTTTAAATTTAAACCCTAATTTTGTCTGAAAATGATTTTTTGGCCCTTATTCTCTAAAATTAGAAAAACCCAAGAAAAGTTTTATTAGTGTACATTTTACTGTCAAAGTGGTATTTTATAATAAAATAAGCAAAAATAAGTTTTTACGCAAAACATGATAATTGAAAAATAAATAAATATATTGACATTTTGTAAATTGAAAAATATAGCAATAACCCTATCTAGGAAATAGACTTTATTTTGGAAATGTCCATTACTGGGAAGTTATTTGTTTCGAACTTCTAACATTGAAATTTTTTTTTAAAAGCTATTGTGATTTTTACTTTATTGCTGTAAAAAAACATTTCTACTCAATACAAAATCTTGAGAAAGGTCTATTCCCTGTATAAGTATTTAAAAATCATATATATAAAATTTTGTTTTCATTTATCAAACCTTTTTTTAGATTTTGGTTTTGGGTAAAAAAAAGTAAAAAACAAATTTTTGGGGGAAAAATGACAAAATAACAAAAAACTCATCTGATTAAAAAAAAACACTTATTTTCTTATTAAAATGCACCAGATTTAAAACTCCCATTTTTTTTATTTAAAAACCTTTTTTTTTTTTTTTTTTAATTTAAAATTTTCCTTGTTTCTTTGTTTTGGGGTCTGCATTATGAATTGATTCACGGATTCTGCATTTATCTAAATGTTTATATCCCCGGGGGAAAAACCCCAGGATTTTCTATATTCATCTTATTAAAAAACCTTTTGAAAATTAATCCTTCATTGAAATTATAATAGACCTACGACCCAAATTTAATTGTTTTGAGCAAACAAAATTTTTTTGGTACTTTTTTTCCAAACTATTCCATTATAACACCCCGTTGGATTTTGCGTAGTCCATGTAAAAGGTTTGTTAGATCTGTTTGTCGCATAGCTAAATATCCGGTTTAATTTTTTTTTAAAAGATCATTTGATAAACCAGCATATTTTGTGGAATATTTTGTTCCATTTGCCACCCCGCTGAAAATAACCCAAATTTCTTTTTCCCTTTATTGACCACATGGTTTCTTATCACTTGATGCAAGGATATTACGCACAAATAATTTTTTCGCATGGATTTGTTCCGATATTGCTGGAAAAATTCCGAGTAGTTTTGAATCTGTCGATAAAATTATCAGTTAATTTGCCTTACCAGACAGTCCTTTTTGTTTTCAGTTTCCTCAGACGTGAGCCCACTTCTTTTACATGGCTAATGCACTCAAACTTTGGGCACACTGTTTATTCCCAAATTCTTTCAATCATAAAAAATTTTTAGTCACCTCCCCATAATATTGGGTGTATTGAAGTCTGCGTTTTTTTTTGTTCGAAGAAATATTCGGGAAGCCCCCCCCTTTTCCCTTTTGATGAAGAGCCTTGAAGTTAACACATATGTGGTCGGCTTTTTACGACTCATATTCAAAGTTTTTGGCATAGTTAAATCCTTTCATGTAGGACGAGGACGACATAACGTTAACACCTTAAAGTATCAACTGATATTGCGCAACACAGCCATTCATAGATGAAGCCTTTTTTCCCCCTTGCCATTCACCGTATGCCACATTTTTACAATATCAGATGAGATTTTTTTTTTCTCCACAGTTTCGGTAGCAGATTTTATCATGGATTCCCCAGCTTCTTCCTGAACCACTTTTTTAAAAACTTTGCTTCCTGATTTTGTACGCAGTTTTGTATCGAGGCAAATTTAATGTTGAGCATAATTTAAAGGCCCGCAAAACCTTTGCCATCTGCCGCATCCATATACAACCTGTGTTTTTGACAGGTGATTTACAACTTTTTGATGAAGCAAATGCAAAGAAAAAGTCACCTGACTACATTTTAATGTAAAATGGGAGCAAATCCATATCTGAATCCTCAAATAGTTCTACTTTTTCAAAAACATTTTGGGCAGCAAAGTTGAGCAAAAAATTCACAATAAGTTCAAGGTCAACGATTCTGTTACCAAAAACAGGGCGGGATTTTTTTCTGCTTAAAAATCTCATTTCCTAAATTTGAAGACTAGCAGTACATTCAGGAACCGCTGAAGTGATGTTATTTTTTTGAAGTTTTTGTTTTATTTATAAAATTCGTTGCGCTTTCTAGCAATACTTTTAACCATTTTAAGTTAAAATAAAACAGAACAAAACAATCAAATAAACTTTTTTACGCTGTCGGTTCTTTCAAAAAGAAAATCAGACACACATGTAAACAAAGTCAAAACAACAAACTTGCTGCCAGGTTTTCAACACAAAGAGGAAAAATGTATTTCCATATTCTTTTATATTTATTCTTAAATGTTCCATTTTAATTTCTGACTAAATATTTGTATATTTATTATAATATTTCATCTCATATACCATGAAAGAGAAACGTAAACAAACAACTCGGGGCACTTCCGGTTAGCAGAAAACCATTTCGGGTCCGAGAAATTTATGATTAAGTAATATTTAGAGAAAGCTGTAACTCGGCTTCTAATTAAGATAGAAACAAAATTTAATCAGATTTACAAAGATAAAAGATTGAATTTTAATATAAGATCAAAAACAAAAAAATCGATATTTTGACCAAAAATTGAGTTTTAAAGGTGTTCTGTCACCATAAGACTTGGCTCTCTTGGAAAAAGATCTGTTAGTTGAACTTTTGTAAATTTCATTTATAAAAAATCCTTTATTTTTGAAATTCTCTTTTGAAAAATCATTTTCTTATGAAATTATTTCTTGAAAATTCCTTTTCTTGTGTTTCATTTTTTTTAAAATTCTTTTCTTATGCAATTCATTTTTGAAAAACCCTTTTCTTATGTAATTCTATAGTTATTTTTTAAGGAATTTTGCTTTAAGATTTTAGGAGAATTTGTTGCAGAATAGCAGTCGGTGATTTTCTCATACTTCCTGTGAGTTTTCATATACTTTGAATTTTACTTATTGTACTTAATTTGTCCTGCTGAGTTGCAAGGGGAAGGTTTGAGCCTTCAAACTAGTTTAACCCCCACTTATTCGGTTCTAAGTCCGAAATTGCTTTCTGACTCGCTAAGTTGTTTTTTGTAGTTCTTTTTTGTATTTTTCTATGAATTCGGTCTTCATGTTTGGCTTTTATATTTTTATTACATTATTTCTTGTTATGTTCATTATATATTACTTCTTGTTTTTGATATTATATATATATATATATATATATATATATATATATATATATATTGTCATAGTTTCAATCCTTAAAAATACTTGATGTTAATACAATTTTTCAGATATTAATTAATTTATTAAGTTAAAAAATGAATAAATAGTAACAAAGAAAATTAATAGTAAAAATAATAGAAAGGAAAATCTATCGTTGTGTTCCTGTAGCGCAATGGATAGCGCGTTGAACTTTTAGTGCAAAGATCGTGGGTTTGAATCCCAACTGGAATGGCCTAATTTCTTAGAATATGATTATTTTTATTGTACCTTTTATTAGAATTACTAAATGTAATTAATTAATAAATAGTATCACAAGCAAACAAAAATAGTCCTACACCATATATAGGAAGGAAAATCGCTTTATATTTTATCATTTAATATTTAGTTAACCTAAGTAGGAATTGACTAAATTTTTTTTAAACATCTTTGTTTCGTCTATAGATATCCGTTTCCCCAAAAGTATAATAAATACAACTGTATCAATTAGTATAAATAATTAATTTTCTTTTAAACCCTGAATAACATTATCAATTTTTTCAGGTATAGCTAAAATTCGATACATGTCCTATGAGCATGGTATTTATATAAAGATTGGGATTTTTGTAACTAGGATTAACGAATTGATTTTATAAATTAAATACATTTTTATACACCCAATGCTCCATAAACAATTATGTTTTAAGTTTAACAACGATTGAATGTCCAGTAATAATGTTTAGCTACTTAAATTTTAAAAATAATAATTTGCTATCCAATGTAAGTTTTATATAAAAAATATTATCTCTTTAAAAAAATCAAATCAAAATTTAATTTGTAAAAAAAAAATAATATAGTTTTTTAAGAATTTTTTTTTTCTAAATTTCATTACTTTGTACACAAAGCAATAATAGTTTTTTTTTAAGTTCATTTTATTTTCTTAATTTAACTCACTGACAGGATCATCCGTCTCTCAGACGGGGATGATTTGCTTTGTGATGCCTCTAGATAACGCTGTTGTGAGGATTTTGGTGGTTGACATCTTCAGTTGGACTCTACCCAATGAGAAGATCACGTGGTGTTACATGACGATTTTTTAAACTCACGATATGTGCGATTTTTCTTATCTATCACCTTCTATCATAGGGGTAATGCTATTGTTTTTCGTTTTTTCTATTATTATTTTTAATTATTTTTACATGAATATAAATAATTTCTAATCAATTTCTTATAAAATAACTAGTCAAAATTCTTGCGATAAAAATATATTAATAAAGTGTGCCTCATAACGACTTAAATATTAAAAATTCTACTCAATTCCAGGAGCGATAAGGACATTTAAAACTGTTCTTAAGGTAATAAAATTCAAAAAGGTTTGCGTATCAGTCAGTGTGTCAGACGGAAGTTTCTAAGAGTAGCAAAAAAATTGATGTTTCAGTCAGAGGCTTAATTAAAGTGTTCATCTAGCGAATCGTTGAATCATTTTTAGACTATGTTTATGTAGTTCTAACATACGGCGACTATATGAATTTTATTTAAGAGCTTTTCTTATACATACATTGTGACATCTCTCGAGTTCTTCCTCTAACATAACCTCTATGTTCTTTGACGGCCACGATTAATGGCAAAACTTTTCCAACCCAAATCCAAGAAGTGAAACAAAACATAGATGCAAATAAGATAACCTTTAAAAGGATAGAAATTTTAGTGAGAAAGAAGGCAATTTAGAGAAAGTTCAGGGTAGAAAAGATAGAAGTGTTGATCGACGGCTTAGAATCAAGACGCCCCTCCGCCAATCCAAACAAGGTACATGCCATTGTACAATCTTAGGAGAAAGATTTGAAATAACTTCGACATTGAGTATTCAACCAAGGTAGGAAGATTATATTCTGAACGCTAGTATATTATTGAGACGAGATTAGGCAGATATAATATATTTATATTGATACGTGATCTAATTGCGCGATCTGAGTTAGTTAAGACTACGTGTTGTGGTTTTTCTCACTTAATATAAGTTTGTTCGATATCTAAGTAATCAAAGTTAAATTCTTAATAAAAATGTCATATTAAGAATTCTAAAATGTCTCATCATTCCGAGAATCCCACACCTCTAACTTACGCTGACACCCCACGACATGGCTATCGAACGATGGCCATGTCGCAACATTAATGTTGTCAGGAATGCAGTTATAGTAATATTATATTATTTTTTTAAAATACTCCGTTAATTTATATATATATATATATATATATATATATAGAATAAAATACACAATATAAAATTAATATACAATACATTCCAGATATGTCTCGATGAATTTATTACATTTTTATAACGTCATATAATGATTAGCATGGAAACAGCAAATATTAAATTGTTTAAGCTATTTCGCTAATTACCATGAACATTACCTGGACATTAATAGAAGTTTTATATTATGCTTGTATAAAATAACTTCCTAAAATCTCTATTATTATTTTATTTTTATTGGCATCAATATAAAAATTAGTTGCAAAATCTAAGAATAATTTATACTTCTATGTATAAAGAAACAATCAAGATTCTTCCGTAATTGCGACTATCCAGTCCTTTTTTTCGCTTTTCAAATACTTCCCTTGCTTCCATAGCAGATGAATCAAAACCGAATGTCAAAAACATCTGACATCTCATATATTGAATAGTCTGTCACTTTTTTCTTACCCAGAACTTTTTCCCCTTACGTTTTATCCTAAAAAGTAAAAATGTTTCGGTAAGATTAAAACAAAACAAAAAACATTGCACTTTGTTTCTGACGTATTAGGATATGTAATAAAAATTATATATTAGCGAACATAACATCTTTCATTTTACCTGAAAAAAGGGAGCCAACTTCAATTATTACAATACAAGAACAATATTGCGTTGTGAAACCTTTGCAGTTTTTATTTTTTATTTTTAAATTCCACCAAATATAGTTTTGGAAAGGGAGACATTATGTGTGTACAAATCCACAAAAAGTACTGTGATATGGTCGATATTTGGCGACCATATCTTTGGTTGTCAGCGTGAATTAGAGGTATGGGATTCTCAAAATGAATCGACATTTTAGAATTCTTAATATGACTTTATTAAGAGTTTAAATTAAATTTCTAATATATTGGACAAACTTATATTAAGTGAGAATAAACCAAACACGTAGCCGTAGCTAAAACGGATCGTGCAACTTGGATCACTTATCTAAATAATTATACTATCCGCCTACTTTCAATTCTAATAATATTACTTCTGATATCAAGTAATCTGTCCTACCTTGAATCACGCAACGGTTCAATCACTTTCAGAGAGACTGTTAGGCACGCGTGCAATAGTATGCACCTTGTAGTAATGGCTAGGAATCCGTTAATCTTTGGTAGGCCGTCAAATTACACTTCTATCTCTTCCACACAGAACTTTCTCTAAATTGCCATCCCGCTTACTAAAACTTCTGTTCTTTTAAAGGCTATCTTATTTGCATCTACAATTGCATTTCACTTCTTGGATTTGGGTTGGAAAAGATTTGCCATTAATCTTGGCCGTCAAAGAACCCAGAGGTTATGTTACAGAAAAGACGCGTGAGCCCGTCACAGTACTTTTTTGAAAAACGTTTAGATTTTATAACCAATTTTTATAGTATTTTCAATGCCATTTCCACAAAAAATGACTTACTTTCATCATGGAGCAAATTGTTTCCACACCAAGTCATATAAACAATAAAATCGAAGAACAGAATGTCGTTTAAAAATATCGGAATTGCTTTAACTTGCAGTGGATTTTTGAGATTACCTTAAGTATTCCTCAAGTAAGTGTTTATTAAAGTCACTTTATATAAAAGCAACATAAGAGCTATTGGTGACGGACAACGTAGTTTTTAACCGTCGTCAAAGGACGAGGATGGCACCTAAACTTTTAATGACACCTGAACAAACCCTCTCTAAACCTCCATATCATTCCAATAGGAAAAAGTAGCCGCGGTATTCTAGAGGTCAAGGTAACGGACTCGAGACCGACGTGTCAATTACCGCTAAACACCCATCGTGTAAAGGGGTGATACACATTAAATCTGTCCAGAGTTCAAACCTCCTCCAGTTGGTGCCATTTCAGGTGTCATCTCGTCGCTTGGCCATGGTTCAAAATTACTAGGTCAGTAGCCAAAAGCCCTCGAGTTAATATTCTCTCACTTACCCAACGGGAGGACTTTCAGCCTCAACAGATTTAATGTATACCAGCCTCTGTACAAATCAGGTCTTTACTAGCATTGGGGCTCAAATTCATAACACGGTTTCGTAACCATGCCCAGTAGGTTACCTCAGCCTCCTCGAAGGAAAATATGGACGTAATTCAAGCAAGTTTCTGAATTTAAATGACGAAAAATTAAAATTATACTTAAAGAGCAGACAGATTATAATTTCGAGAATTTCGGAATCATGTCGAACATAACCAAACAATAGTACATTTGGTTCATCGCTGGATGCTGGAGACAAACTCGTCGTTACCAATGATTTTACCAGTCTCGTTGCAGCGTTACATGACATGGCAGACATATCGTGCAAATGGTTGTAATGGATTGTGTGCGCTCTGTACCATCAGAAACATATCATAACAAATATGTTTGTTCGCAACAATCATGCTCAAAGTACCATTCAGCGTAATTTACCGTTCAGTGGAATATTTACAAAATATATGTCCATTCCTACAAGTTCATTTTGTTTCAAAACTTCATGACGTGTGCAGTGGTGAATTTAGCAGACTTGAACAAATGAATATCATGACGTAATTACAAACAAATCCCGATTTTGCCTGAAACACTCGGATGGTCGGATTAGCACTTGGAGACACCGTAGAGAGAGACTGCTTAAATTCCTTTATGCATCAACATATTTCAACGTCTTGAACCCTCAAAAATTACTTCATGTTTTGGTAGTGAGAATGATCACACAGTTCTTGGCCAAAAAGCATTTTATTTCATTTTATTCAAATTTTTAAAGTAAATTAAATTCATTATTAATTATTTTTATCTTCCCAGCCTTTCGTTGATTTAAAGTTCAAATCCAGAATCGTAGATCAGATGATTATCTCCAGGGTGTGGCTGTCCCCGCAGCCCCTTTCACTGGGATCGTCCAACGTTAATCGCTGGGCCAGCTGCCTCACAGACTTTGTCACTCCGTCTTCAAGAATTCCTCGCCTCTTTGACCTCTTCTTTGTGTTTCAAGAAGAAAAGTAAGAAGCTACTCGTAAT